AATACCTACATTTAGAGTCAGTTATTCATTCAGCCTAATGAGAAACTGTAGAACAGACTCGGTTTATATCACAATACCTACATTTAGAGTCGGTTATTCATTCAACCTAACGAGAAACTGTGGAACAGACTCAGTTTATATCACAATACCTACATTTAGAGTCGGTTATTCATTCAGCCTAACGAGAAACTGTAGAACAGACTCAGTTTATATCACAATACCTACATTTAGAGTCAGTTATTCGTTCAACCTAATGAGAAACTGTAGAACAGACTCAGTTTATATCACAATACCTACATTTAGAGTCAGTTATTCATTCAGCCTAGTCAGAAACTGTAGAAAAGACTTTATTAAATATTAAATATTAAAGTGTACTGTACATTATAGAACCAGGATTGGGAAACACTGGGCTACTACATTACCTGAAGTTGCCATTGTGGGGTGCTATTACGTGGGTACAGTTCATGTCCATTTGATATATTTTTGATTCCCTTTCTTCAGTGCATATTTTTCATTTGTACTGTCTTGGAATGTTGTCATACTTTACCCAATAACAGAGTTACATATGAAAAATAAACATCAGTTTTTAGTTGTCCAATTTTCCGATGTCATTTTTCCAATATTTTTGTATCAAAGATAAATCACAAATATTAAGTGAACCTTCAATTGTAGAATGACCCTCTTGTCCAACAAAGCCAATGACCAGTACCGCCCAGGCCTTAATGTTGGTTCTGCTGAACTTAGAGCCTAATAAGGCCTAATAAGTCTCAACAAAAACACAGGAACTCTCTGACCCCACCAGGACTCTGCAGCTGGTGTGAAATCCTCTGAGTCTTGGGTCTTGCATCATCTCTGGGCATTGTGATACTTCACCTGACTGCAGACGTAACCATCTTTTCATAACACCCAACGGTTTTTGTGTGTCGATATGTAGTGAATTAGAACATATATTTTTCTTCAATATGGGTATGCATTAATAAAACATTACCATTGTTATTGTGTACCTTGTGTACCTGTTTATCACAATCACACACTCACATTATCTAAACCACGTTAAAGCCTATCCAGGTGCTCATTGGGTGGAAGGTAGGAAACACCCTGGACAGGACGCCAGTCCATCATAGGGGAGACAGACAGACATATACATTCAAACCGAGGGGCAATTTAGTATCTCCAGATATGAGAAAAAGAACCCTGGTCGCCTGGCCGGGGAATGGAACCCAGGCCCTTCTTGCTGTGAGGTGACAGCACTGTCTACTCTTATCTATACATCTTAAATCCCCCAAATCTGAACAACGTAAGCCTTGATTCAGGTGCTATAGCTTATTAGCAACACTGATCTTGGTATTTTACATCCTTCCTTACCTCATTTTTTCTGTCATTTATTGCAATTTGATTAATTGCGAAATGATTTCTGTTTAGGCATAGAGTGCTAGTGCTAGAGTTTGTGTTCTGGCCCTTTCCGCATAATAGCGACCCCTAGTGTACAGCAAAGTAAGTGCAGTACAAGAAATTCAGTTTAATACAGGAAACAGGAAGTAAATTCAGTGTTAGCCTACATATGGTCCATGGAACTGGCAGTGTGAATAGTTAATCCTTTACCAATCGTGTGAAGCTTTTAAAGAAGGAGATATCTGTGAGTAATCGTGTTACAGACAACAATATCTTTGTTCATTTTTTTATTTTTTTATTATTATTTTTTATTTTTTTTTTATTTTATTTTTATTTTTATTCATTGTTTTGCCGTTATTTAGACTTGGTAAACGTACCTCTTGATTGATGTTCGTTTGTAATATTTACGGATCACAAATTGTACTGCACAGCTGCCATTTGCAGCCATTAACATATTGCTTTGTCCGTACTGTTTTGGGGTTGAATTTGGTGCAGTTGTATGAAGCACATTGTAACTGTATATTTAACAGTTTCACAAGAAACATCCGACTAAAGTCCCAAGCAAAACGGCACATTGGATTTATTTGGATGACCTGTGTAGCTGACTGGATAACTGAGTATGGCTACATTCAGTAAGGCCAGGACAGTTTGTGTGAACTACATTATATCCCACTAGCAGAACTTATTATGTTACACCATTTTCCTCATACTTTATTTGTGATATGTCCTACTGTGAAGCAGGGAATATAGGGATGGCCTGCCCCTTTGGTTTTTGCCTTTGTTTATCATAGCATGGCTGTTGTTGTTTTTAAATTTCTTTTCTTTTATAGGTTAGTTCATTCTGTTTTTTACGGTCTTTGTTTGTTATTTTGAGTCTTGGGCCTCCCTGAAGCCAAATCCCCTGCTAGCCTAACGTGTCAATCCATTCATCATTGAACTTTATGCGTTAGATAAATGACTAAGTGGAGAGTAAAAGCAGTGTGAAAACGTTGTTTACATCACAGAGACTAACAGTCATTTCTATATTAATACAGTACAAAGACAGTCATGACTGAACTCTGATGTTTTTTATCCCTCTCTCTCTCTCTGTCCTTTATTTTCATTGGTGATGTGGTTGTCTTTGTTTAAGGTTAATTTTTTTATTATTTATTTATTTATTTATTTATTTTTTGGTCTGGTGGCTGAGTGGGTGGTCTCCCCTTTTGTAGCCACATTTGGTACCTCTAAAATTCTCCAGCCTCACTTCAGATTTCAGTATAGTGGGTGAATGTAATGAGCGAATACCATAAAGAGTCAACTGACAGAACACCTAATGTTACATTTGTCTGGCATTTCAAGTGTAGATAAAAGTGTCTGTTGAACATGTAAAGGTGTAATAAAGATCTCAGCCCACCTTAGTCAGGTCATTAATGTTCTAAAGCCCTTAATTACCAGATTCAGGTGCGTCGGAATCTGTGGGTCCCTGAGGGTCACATTGTTTATGTAGCATAAACCCACCTACACAATGTGTTTCTCTCTGCGTTTACTCTCCTCTGTTCTCCTCAGCAGAGTGCGACGAAGGTGTGAGATGTACAGAGCAGCGTGTTCTACAAAACCACACACATTAAGCACGTCTACTGTGTGCTTTATTCAGAGTGTGTGTGTGTGTGTGAGTGTGTGTGTGTGTGTGTGTGTGTGTGTGTGTGTGTGTGTGTGTGTGTGTGTGTGTGTGCACGCTCGTACAGAATCGTTCCTCACAGGGGACGTTTATTACATCACTCACTGAGGCTGACAGTCACTTCTACATTCATACAGTCACGACTGACCCCTCTATTTTATCTCTATTCTCTCTCTCTCTCTCTCTGTCTGTCTATGTCTCTCTCTCCCTCTCTGTTCTTTACCTCTTTCACTTTCTCTGTCTGTTTGTTTTTATCTCTCTCATTTTCTCTCTCTTTGTTCTTTATCTCTTTTTCTGTTTTTTATGTCTCTCACTTTCATTTTTTTTTCTTTTTCACTTTCTCTCCCTCTCTTTGTTCTTTATCTCTCACTTTCTCCATCTCCCTTTTATCTCTCCCTTCATTTCTGTCTCGTTCTATCTTTCTTTCTGTCTTGCTCTTCCCTCAGTTCTTTTTCTCTCTTCATTTCTGTGTCGTTCTCTCTCCTTCTGTCTCTTTCTTTCTGTCTTACCCTCCCCTCTCTCTGCTCTTCATCTCGTCAGGTCTCTCTCCTTTCTCCTCCTGTCTCGTTTTCCTTTCTCTTTCTCCCTCTGTTCATTTCTCTCTCTCTCTTCCTTTGTCTCATTTTCTTAAACCTCCTAACAATCCAAGTTTATTACATACTGAGGCTTATTATTCAGTAACTAAAGGGACTTCACTGCAAACGAATGGAGCTATTCTTAGGTTATAGAAGTGTGTAATAATGGCTTGTCAAGGGGTTCGTTTCCCTCTTTCTCACTCGTTCTTTCCATCTGTTTATCTCTCTCCTGCTCTCTCTAGTTCTCTCTTCCCTCCATTCTCCCTCCTCTCCATATTTCTCTTTCCATTTGTTTTTCTTTCCTTTTTCCCATCTTTCCCTTTCGCTCTTCTATCTCTCCCACTTTCTATTCCTTTTCTCTCTCTCTCTCTTGTTCTCCGTCTCCTCTTCTCTAATTCCTCCTCTCTCTCTGTTTCTCTCTAAAACGTTATACAACTGAACACAGTCACACAGACAGAGTCAATGACCTGCAGAGTCAGTTCTATACGCCCACTCTCTCTCTCTCTCTCTCTCTCTCTGTCTCTATTTCAGTTCACGCTCCTTGAAAGAATTTCCATTTATGGATCTCTCGTTCTCCCAGCGCAGTGAAGAGACTCAGCTCATCGCTGATCAGTCATCGAGTTCATTTATATCAAAAGCTTTTATTCCAAACTGTTTGATCGTACAGTGTTCATGTAAGGCCTTTCAGTAAAGAACACAGTGAGTGTGTTTACGTGCACTTAATAATCCGATCATGATCCGATTTCTGTCATGCAAACACCATAATCTGATCTAGAAATCCGATTAAGAAATCTGATAAAGAGAGCTGGAGTTTAGCTCAATAATTGGTTCTCAGCAGCAAAACACTGTTGGAGCGGCGCTGACACCAAACATGAAATCAAGAATTTAAACATGTTCACAGTTTCTGGTAAAGTGGTGCGATGCTTCAAAAGCCGCGTCTTCTTCTGTGAGTTTACTGGCTGGTTGTAAAGCAGAAATCCGATTACTGTGATTCATGTAGACCCGGGGTTTCCCCACTATCTGATTACTCAAGTTCAAGTAAACGCGTTGATTGGATCACTGACAAAGTCTGATTTTTTGCAGTTATCGGATTATTAAGCGCCTGTAAACACACTCTTTGATTTATCCATCGCTGGCTGGCTGCTACAGTTCAAACTCAACGGCTGCAGTGATAATAAATATATAAATAAATTAATTAATTAATTAATACATCGATAAGTAAATAAATAAAGCTGTACAGTACGAGCTGAGGTGATCAATTCACAACATTTACATTCATATTCATATTTACACTCAAACTAATGGAAGGTCATTGATGTCAGTACAGTACTCTGTGTAATAAGCCAATGTCTCTCTCTCTCTCTCTCTCTCTCTCTCTCTCTCTCTCTCTCACAGTCACTTCTTGGCTGTTTTGCTCGTCCTTTTTTTCCCGTGGGTCGCGAGCACGAGCCTGAGGTCCGCGTTCACGCTGGGTCTGCGCGCGAGCGGATGGAGCGCGCCGCAGGGGCTCGCGTGCGCCTCGGCCTTCCTCCCTCCGCCTCCCAGTCTGCGGTAGGAGCGCAGGGACACTCTGCGGTGGTGCGAGGGTCCGGTCTCCACGGGCAGCCCCGCGCGCGCCGCCAAGGCCTCGAACGCGCGCTCCAGGCTCTCGCCGCCCTCCTTGGCCGACGTCTCGAAGAGCGTGCACGCAGCGTCCTTGCCGCCGAAGGCGCGCAGCAGCTCGGCGCGCGACACCGCGCGCTCCTCCGCCGGCAGATCCGCTTTGTTCGCGCACACGACCACGGGCACGCGCGCGCCCTCAGCGGGGCAGCGCAGGAGCGCGCTTTTAGCCTGAGAGATCTCAGAGCGCAGGGAGCGCGCTTCATCAAAGGAGCCGCGGTCATCCAGACTGAGGACCAGCAGGAAGATATCACCTACAGAGAGAGAGAGAGAGAGAGAGAGAGAGAGAGAGAGAGAGAGAGAGAGAGAGAGAGAGAGAGAGAGAGATGTTTAATACATTATATGCAAATTCAACAACACAAATCATGAAATCAGTCCTAATTCATTTCTAATAATCAATCAATTAATCAATCAATCAACCTTTATTTAAACTCGGAATACATTGAGGGAGACCCTCATTAACAATGTAGCCGAGTAATGCAGGAATCAGGGATTGAGAAGTTGTACAGTAAAAAATAAATAAATAAATCAAACGTTATAATTAAATTAAAAAAAAGAAAAGGAAAAGACAGAAAGAAAGAGAAATAAAACGGAGGACAAAGGGAAGACAGTAAGGAAACAGAAAGAAAGGCAGAAAAAAGAAGGAACGAAAAAGAACGGATGAATGAACTACAGACAAAAAGTAAAACGAGCAACAAAAAGAAACAGATATAAATGAAAGTTAGCAAAAACAAAGTGAAAGAAGAAAGAAAAAACAAACAAAAGTAAACCATGAAAATGAAATCAGAAAGAAAGAAAGAAGGAAAGAAAGAATGAAAAAAATAAAGTTAGCAAGAAACAAAGTGAGAGAAAAAAAAACAATCAGTAACAAAGAAAATAAGCAAATAAGAATGAAATGAACGTCAAAAAGAAAGAAAGAAAAAAGACAGAGAAAGAAAGACAGAAAGAAACAACGACAGAAAGACAGAAAGAAAGAAACAAAGACAGACAGAAAGAAAGAGAGAAAGAAACAAAGACAGACAGACAGACAGAAAGAAAGAGAGAAAGAAACAAAGACAGACAGACAGAAAGAAAGAGAGAAAGAAAGACAGAAAAAAGAGAACTAGGGAAACATGCAAAAAGAAAAAAAAACTAATTAAGCAAGCAATAAAAGGAAAACAAAAAGAACGAAAAATGCAAGAAAGAAAGAACAAAGAAAGAAAACAAAAAGAAAGTAAGAAAGAAAAAGGAAAACAAAATAAACGAAGCAGGGAAAGTGAGAGAGCAGCTGAAGGCTCTGCAGTGTCGGCCCTGCAGAGCCGGACCTGCTGTTCGACTATGGCCGTGCGGTCGCTGTTCAGAGTGGGTCACTGTAGCAGAGACAGTCGCCCTCAGGTCTGTGTATAAACACTGACAGAGGATCTCTGAGCGTTAAAGAGGCCAGCAGAACTGACTGAAACTCCACCAGACAGTCTGATTATGATCCGATCTACACTGAGAGTCTAGAGCCTGTATTACACTGTTTATTACACTGATGTCCGTCAGCCGGTTCTGGACGCTCACCTGTGAGGATGGTCAGCCTGCGCTTGGCCGGAAACTCTCTCTCCCCGGCCGGATCCAGGATGTCTATCTGATAGGCTTCCCCGCGGATGTGGTAGAGTTTCCTGTGGAAGTCCTCGCGCGTGGGCTCGTAGCGCTCCTCGAAGTCCTCGCGCAGGAAGCGCCGCAGGATGCTCGTCTTCCCCACGCGCGGTGCGCCGAGCACCACCACGCGCCGGCAGTTCCGCGGCTTGGGCGCGGGCGCGAGCGTCAGCGCGGAAGACTCGAGAGCGAGCCGCCGCCGTCGCCGCTGCAGCACAAGCGCGGCGAGCTGCGCGAGCGGGGACGAGCGCTGCTTGTCCTTGGCGGCCGCTGCGACGCTCGCGCTGCGTTGTAGCTGGAGCGCGCGCATGCCCGCTTTGGAGAGCAGGTGCTGCGCCGCGCTCTTGTAGGCGAGCAGGAGCCGGGAGGAGCGCGCGGGAGCGGGAGACTCCATCAGTGTGAGCTGCGAGAGCGAGCGAGTGAGGAGCACGAGAGCGGCGCGAGATTTATAGCGGGAAAACCGAGGCTCCGCCCCCTGGGAGGATCAAAGAGACTGACCGACAGAGGGAGCGAAACGGTTCACGCGCACAGAGGCACATAATACATACACCGTTAACTCGATACGTAACGTGCACATTCAGTCCTGTTCTGTCTCCTGGATTCTGTCTGTAGACCGGTTTATGGAGTCTCGCGCTCTCGTGCACAAACCGCTCAGGGGGGCTGCAGGGAAATCACTAAAGAGCTGAGCTGGTAAAGTGACATAGAACAAAGCTGCAGTGAGAATAACTCGAACACAGGGAAGTTTACAAACCTAATCTTCAATAATAATAATAATAATAATAATAATGATAATAATAATAATAATAGCCTGGTAAATATCAGTGAAGGGTGAGGATGATCTCTGAGATAAACACCATTAGAGATCAGAGACCAGCAGATTCACCGAGAGGGCTGAGAAAAACACTCCTCAGTCTGTAGGACTCAGATTACATTCACTGTACTAGACGATCTGTCCTAAATGACAAGGATAGACAGGTAGACAGACAGACAGGTAGACAGACAGACAGACAGACAGATAGATAGACAGGTATACAGACAGACAGACAGGTATACAGACAGACAGACAGACAGACAGGTAGACAGACAGATAGACAGACAGACAGGTAGACAGACAGACAGACAGGTATATAGACAGACAGACAGATAGACAGACAGACAGGCAGGTAGACAGACAGACAGATAGATAGACAAACAGACAGACAGGTAGACAGACAGACAGACAGATAGACAGACAGGTATACAGATAGACAGACAAACAGACAGATAGACAGATAGACACATATATAGATAGATAGATAGATAGATAGACAGATAGATAGACGGATGGACAGACGGATAGACAGACAGACAGATAGATTGATAGATAGACAGATAGACAGACAGACAAATAGATAGACAGACAGATAGATACATAGATAGATAGGCATAAAGACAGATAGACAGATAGATAGACAGTCAGATAGACAGACACACAGAGATAGATAGACATAAAGACAGATAGACAGATAGACAGATAGATAGGCAGTCAGATAGACAGATAGACAGTCAGATAGACAGACAGACAGACAGATAGATAGATAGATAGATAGACAGACAGACAGACAGACAGATAGATAGATAGATAGATAGATAGACAGACAGATAGACAGACAGACAGATAAATAGATAGATAGATAGATAGATAGATAGATAGATAGATAGATAGATAGATAGATAAGTAGATAAGTAGGTAGATAAGTAGGTCTGTCTGTCTTTTTATCTATCTATCTATCTATCTATCTATCTATCTATCTATCTATCTATCTATCTATCTATCTATCTACCTATGCATTAACAAAACCATGAATACAAACAAATGATGATCTTTCACGTGTGATAACTGCGGCCTTCAGAGCGCTGTGTATGAACGTTAATAGGTCAATGTGTCCCAGGTCAGACAGTGTCCAGTGTAACCTGTGGGACAGTGTCCAGTGTAACCTGTGGGACAGTGTCCAGTGTTCCTCAGAGTGGAGTTATTACAGCTCCATTCTGGTTTCAGTTTAATGGCCTTCATTAGCACCACAGGCAGTCCTGCCACCACAACGCTGTCATTACCAACAGTTTCACTTATTAAAAACCTGAATAAACGGAAAGATAGACAAACCAGAATGAAAGAGAAGAGACAGCTGAACCCCAGCGTTCTGCTGTTAAAACAGTTTGAGTAATGATTTTGTTGTTACCTGACCGGAGTAAAGAGAAGGAGAAAGTCCAGCTTTGACCGTTCTCTCACTTTGTTGCCATGGCACCGTCAGCGGCGTCCGTTGCCATGGCAGCGTGAACGCGAGGACGCGCTGTTGGAGCTGCAGCTCAGAGAGCGGAGGGTAAACAGCTCCGCTCTTTACTCTTCTTTATCCTTTAAAAAAGCTCGCTTTATGTGTATATTTGTCACGGTAGTGAAGCGACCTGACTCCGTATGTCGCAACACAGCGACGACAAGTGATTTTAACCCTTTACTCCGTGTTTTGCGGCGTGAATACAGCAGTTTGAGGTGTTTGTTAGTTGGCTAAGCTAACTGTGAGTGTAGAGAAGTTAATAGCTAACAGGTCTCCTAAACATGGCGAGTCCTGGAAAGTCACCTGGCAAGGCTGCTAAAAAAGAAGCCAGACCCCGCTCTCCACCCGGTATGGCTGCTCACCACCCTTACCAGCACCTACACACTTCTTCAGGGGTTCTTCAGTCACAGCAGTTGATCTATTTAGAGCCATGGGTTCTTCTGTATAGAGCCATTTGAATGCTTATATGTTTCTATGCATGGTGAAATGGAGATTGTGTTGTATATGGTTCTATTTAGAACCCTTTTTGAAAATTATTCTATATAGCAATAATACGGTTCTTCTATTGTTATGATATGAGTTCTATAAAGTACCATTTTATTCTTAAATGGTCCTTTGCTGGGTGAAATAGTTCTTCAGATTGATGGAGAACATGTTGTTGGGTTGTACATGATTCTGTATAGCACCGAAATGAGTTCTGCTATGGTTACGATGTCAAGCTTGTAACAATAGAAGAACCTTTTTTTGGTGCTATATAGAACCCTTTTCAAAAAGGTGCTATACAGAACCATCTACAGCACATTGTCCATCAATCTGAAGAACCCTTTCATGATGCAAAGAACCTTTTAATCATGCAAAGCGTTGTTTGAGTTTTCATGGTTCTACATAGAACCATTTTCTTTACTTAAGAACCTTTGAAGAACCATCTTTTTGTTACGAATGTACATTCTCCATCAATCTGAAGAACCGTTTCACTGTAGAGGTCTCTTTAAGCATTACATCGTTCTACATAGTTATAAATAGCACCATTGCCTTTACTAAAGAACTCTTAAAGAACCATTTTTGTTGTGTATTACTGACACTTTCACTTTCAAAATAACCACTTGGGAATGGAGCCCCTGAGCTGACATGGTGATTATTTATTTGGCTGCAAATTAGTTTATCAAGGCCAAGAGTTAAGATACTGAGGCCACAAGAAACTTAACTCATGGCCTCAATACAATAATTTGTTGCCTCAGTATATTAATTTGTGGCCACATCTCATTAAAAATAATCACCATTTCACCTTAGGGGGTCCGTACTTAGGTGCATTTAGCCGCTCTATGTGACCTTAAATGTGCGCTATGTGTTAAAACTACAACTGTGACTTATAAATTAGTTTTTATTTAAAATGTCGTCCCTTTAATGGAGCCCCTGCCCTTTTAGCCATGGTCTCATCAGAGACTACTGTATTGCAGGTAGAGCACTTGGTTTGTATACTTTTTAAAAATCTGAAATCAGAATGATCCAAATTAAATCCAATCAATTTACATAAATAATGCCAACAGTGTATCTCCTTTCTATCAGTTCTGGTCCTGAATGTTGGAGTCCAGTAGAGTTTCAATTACCCATACTAAATCTAGCAAAATTAACAATATCAGGTATCAGATCAGGAAAATCACCCAACTGTGCTGGACCCAGGCCCTCCAGAACCAGACCCGATAAACCCCTGGTGTTTAGGTGTGTTCTAGTGTAGAATAATGGTCACCTGAAGATCTGCTGCATCTTCCTGCCAACTTGAGCTCCAACTCTAGTTGTGCTCCCTATTTCACCTTCTTATTGCCTTTAGAAGTTCCTGAGTAGCTGAACGAGGTTTGTTAGATTTAGGTTGGAGGAGAAACATGTATTTTGGCTGGCAAAGGATCCACCTGTTTGTTGCCAGGGAAAAGAGGGACACATTTCTCGGCCGCATATGAAGGAGCCTTTGAAATGGGACAGCCTAGTCGCGCTGCTGTAACGCAATCTGCCTTCAAATGCAGCCTCCGAAGGACGCAGCCCCTGAATTGGGACACAAATTTGTATTTACACACAAAATTGTATGACAACAAACACAGCGAGAGACTGGCGTAGTAAACGTGGGCGGTGCCCTTCCTCCAGTCGTGAAATCCAACCACTATAGAGAAATTCAAGACACATGGAAAAACCAGGTGTGAGCGGCCACACGTCTCCATGTCCACCTATGATCATATCACGTCCAAATGGATGATAATACCAAATGTGAACAGCGCAAGTGGTAGCAATGGGTCATTTCATTCCTGACAGCGAATATCCCATAATAATAATGAGTAGGAACAGCGTGAAACTTGTCTCCTTTCATATTCCTGTTGACACACAGCATTGAAGCTGTACTGGAACACAAAACGGATTTAAAAGGTTTTACTAAATAACCTACATACGTGATCGGTAGTGACCCAATCTCTCGGGAAACAAAGTTACGTCAGGTAGCTTACATGACAGTAGTTGGAAGTTGGCTAACTCGGCCTGCACCTGTTACAGAGTCTGGAGGAAGTGCAGAGACCTAGTTTGACCCATTTTCCTCTGCAGGAAATCAACCAGGTGCTTGACAGTTTATGGGCAGTTTAATGATTTAGTGTGTCAGCAGCATTGATTGAATAACTTTTGGCATTTGACTGGCGCAACACTTGCCCTAGTTGTCAACAGAGCAGTTCAGATAACAGCATGTGTAACAGGCATGCTAAATAGGCTAAAGCTTCTCTGTGTGTGTGTGTGTTTATGTGGCTATGTATTTATCACTTTGTGGGGACCAAAATGGTAAAGTTGCTGGAAATCTGGCTGCTCTTCATGAGGAAAAAGTTTCCCAAAACTGCAGATTCTATTAGAAAAGTAAAAGAGTCCAGAGCTGATCTTTTGGTTGCTGTGGTTAAGGTTAGGGTTGGTTTAGGCGGAGCACAGTAGCCTTTAGCTGTAGTCATACTAGAAGGCAATGGAAAGACTCTACAAAGACAGGAATACTGTGTATAGAACAGTCTAGTGCTGAATGGATGTGGAACAGAGGTTCGCCAATGTTATCCCCAAATCCAGACCTTTCCTTGCAAATCTGTTGGCTATAAATGTAGCAGTAAGACAGTGTTTTTATGTACTATAGTTTAATTACGGAAGCAAATAATGTGCTTATTTTACTGCCAATACTTTTGTCTTTTTTCCTAATTTGGCCCTTTTGTTCATGCTCTTAAAGCGATACCTTCAGCACATTCAACAGATTACACTGAATTATTAAAAGTAATTCTGATTAAGCTCTTTTGTCCATTCATAGCTGCAATTGTTTTAAATGGATAAATAATTCTTAGGGCCCAAATTCAAGCAAATGTGATTGTTCTGATTAACTACATGAATGATTAAATGATGAATTATTTAAATATTTTAAATGAATGTTGGACAAACGTTTTATTTGCCGTGGTGGCTTGGAAAACACCAAAGCACATGTGGGCAAAATAACAAATAACAGTAACGATAAAGATGTACACAAAAACAAGCCAAATTAAATATGGAAAATGGTTTATTAAAGGGAAAACTGATTCAGGTATAAGCCTACTAGAAATGCTCTTGATTAGGCTCACATAAGCAGAAATTAAAAGGCCTATTCAAAGACGTGATTAGTGTTTCTTGTACCTGGGCAGGGAGTTAGGAAAGGTACACAGTTGTCCTCATAAAAAATGAGGTGACTGAATGAATTACGGAAAATCTGACCTATTTATTCCACTGACCTGGTACACTTTCTGTATGTAAAATGGGTATGTTGGATACAGTGGGGTAGAGAGGAGGAAGTGAATGGACAACAGTGTAAGTGTGACGTCTTGACCCAGTCAATCCAGACCGCCACACTCATTCATTGAAACCACAGCAGCACTTGTGTGTTAATGTGCGATGTGGTTTTCTCAGAAACTTTTAGGGGTAAACGGTAATCAGCCATTAAGCCATACTTCATGTGAGAGGCAGGGGCCATGAGGAGAGAGCGAGGTGAGAGGTGTAATGAGAGCCTGCTGTGCCTGACATCTTCATTTGCAGAGTCATTCTGGGGAGCAGTTGACCCCCTGGGGCCTCACATGAGTTCCCTGCATCACTTCATCCCTCTTTCTCATTATTTTACCCTCACTCTTTCTCATATTCAGTTCAGCAGGGTAAGATATTGTGGTGGGTGCTGCAGTACTGCCACAGGAATGCAGATCTCCGCTCTATGATGACTACTCAGGTAACCTTTTATGGTGCTAGTATTTGAAATATTGAAGTAGTTAAGTGGTAGGATGACTAGCTCCAAGCAGAAGCTGCCCAGAACTCCAGCCCAAGTTCTCAAGGTTCTCTCCTTGGTCTTAATGAGGAGTTCTGAGGCTTTTTCTTTGGTGGGACACCAGAGCTTAGCTGCTTTCCCATTGGCTGTTGGCACTGACAGATTTTCACCGATCCAATTGAATAAATTCTGATTGTAGATTAAAGTGTTTATGCTCACGCTACTCAACTATCTGTTGAAAAGCTCTGTTTACACGCTCAGTACAACTAATCCAATCCAAAATTACATACACTTAGTGTAGACGTTACCATGACAACGAGCATCATGTGAGTCCAGTCAGAGTGAGATGAGCAGCAGTGAGCAGTGCTTGTGTTTTTAATTGCTTTAAAATGATGTCAGACTCGAACTTCACATGTCCTTATTAAAGAAGGCCGAGAGGAAGACGTCGTGTTCTGAGACACATAAGTTGGACGTCCGTCCCACCGCCGTCTTTTAAAGATCAGAGCATAAACTTCGTCTCCTCTGCAGACCAGTTTCTGCTCCGCCATGTTGAACGGTATAAACTTTCACTATGACACGACGAACATGATCAGAACGGACTTAAACTTTCCGATAGGGAATGTAATCAGATACAGGCGTTTACATGGATATTATTCTTCTATTTAACAGATTATTTACAGCATTACCCAACTGGATCAATCTGATAGAAACTGTATTCTGATTGAGGTGTTTACATGGACGTATTCTATTCCGATTAAACTATTAGTCAGTTAATTAATTGATTATCGGACTGCATGCGAATGTGGCTGTTGAGAAAGTATGGCGTTTGAGTCAGTGAGTGGTTTAACATTTGGTCTTTAGTGTTTCTTGAGGTTTCTCCTTCATGCCTGACCACTGTTATCATTATATTTTTGGATAGATTATCACGTTTTTATCGATTGGTTAACCCTTGTGTGGTGGTGATGTGTTTGTTACTCAGTGGTCTGGTGGACCCACCACATTATTGGTTATTTAAAGCAATACAGCCATAACACTTTATGTAAAAATACCAGATGTTTAAAAT